CGGAGGAGCAGGAGGAGGAGAAGCAGGAGGTGGAGCAGGAGGAGGAGGAGGAGAAGGAGGAGGAGGAGGAACATGAGGAGGAACATGAGGAGGAAAATGAGGAGGAGGAGGAGGAGGAGGATCAGGGAGGAGGAACGGGAGCAGGAGGCAGGAGGAAGCTACGGGCGAAAGGAGCAGGATGGAGGAGACGGAGAAGAGGGAGGAGGAAGGAGACGGCGACGACGAGAAGGGGAGGAGGGAGGAGGGGGGACATCATTAGAATGATAGCGCCTGGTGGCTGAGGAGTATGAGAATTGGACTTAAACCTGGGGGGGGAATTCCGCGACGTGCCCAGGAGCGGGAGGAGGAGGAGGAGGAGGAAGAGAAAGAGAAAGAGAGAGCGGTGAGGAGGGAGGGTGGAGTAGCAGAAGCATGAGGATGGAGAGGTTCGTCCAGCTTCTTGTTCCTCGTCATCCCCCTCCTCGTCGTCCAATTCAGGAGGAGGAGGGGGACGAGGACAAGGAGCATGAGGAGGAGGAGGAGGACACGGAGGAGGAGGAGGAGGAGGAGGAGGAGGAGGAGGAGGAGGAGGAGGAGTTGCGGGAGTGCGCGTCGGGAGGTGGAAGAGTTCCGCGGGGCCATGCTGCCAGTGACGAAGCATCTGCAGGGCGTCGCCGACAGCAGCACGCCACGAGTGGAGATATTTCGGCTGGTGCCTATCACGAACCTCTCGGCTGAGCTGAAGGCGCAGGGAATCCGAATGAATGCTTGAGCGTCTGCCCCCTCCCCTCCTGCTCCTCCTCCTGGTGCTCCTCCTCCTCCTCCTCCCTCTCCTCCTCCTCCTCCTCATCCTCCTCCTCCTCTTTCTCCTCATCCTCCTCCTTTTCCGATCGAGGCCCCGCATTTGAGATCTTTGCTACGGCCTTGCACGGGCCAGGCCACAGCGGGACAAGCGTGGTTCCGCGATTTCATATTCGATGGACGCGAGCTTCGCTCCTAGTGGTGGCCAGGCGCCGTCCTGCTGGCGGGGTGGCGCTCAGAGGCCGATGGGAGGGTGGCTCGCGCGTCCTCCGCAGGTCTCTGCGTTGCGGCTCTCCCTCCTCGGGACCCGCAGCCGCCTGCCCTTCATCAGCGCCAGGCGCCGCCCCATTGCGAGCCTGGCCGCCCGTGCGCCCCTCAGCGCGGGCGCCTGGCAGCCTGCCATTGTGCGCAGGCCCTCCGTGCGGCCATCGCCGCCTCTCATGAATCGGCTAGTGTTTGCCCTGCGCATGCTAGACCTTTAAAAGCCCTTGCCTCTCCCCCGCCTGGCCTGCCACATCCATCATCTCCTTCTTCTGCTCGCCGTTATCCTCCTCCCCATCCGCCGTTTGCCCCCCATCCTCCTTCTGCCCTCCCCCTCCCATTCCGTTGTTATGCCGTCAGGCCGAGGCAATTTCCAAATGCCTCGCCACCGCGGACAAGCGGTGCAGCCTGGGCGCCGTGTGGCACCGCCTGTATGCGGTGTGGGTCCGATGATGTCAGATCCTTATCCCGTCCGCGTTCCGGGTGCGATAAGGATAGGGCGGAGGGCGACACTTCCCGCTGGGAGGTTCGTGGTCGTTCGTTGTCGTCCTTCGTGTCTCGTCTCGTCGTCGTATCCGTCGCCCTTTTCCTCTTCGGGAGTTGCGGCACGGCCCTGGATTAGGTTCCAGGGTGGACGTTGTTTGCGCTCCTGGGCCGGAGAGTGGCCCCCTCCCCCTCCCCCTCCCTGCTGCCGCTGCTGTTGCCGTTGCAGCTGTCAGGCCAGGGTTTTTAGTGCCCTGCCACCTCGGCCAAGAGGTGCGGCCTGGGCGCGGGAAGACCCCAGTGGCACCTCCTGGTCTGAGGTGTACCGCCGTTTGACGACCACGGAGGCGGGGCCCGCGGCTTTTCCGCCTGTAACCTCTTGGTTGCAGTGCTCTTTGCCGCGGGCACACTGTTGCCGTGCTTGTGAGGGTGCGGGCGCTGGGCAACGCTCCGTGTATTGTCCCTTGGGCGCCGATCCCGAACCCCCGTGCGCCATTTTGGCGAGGGGTGTAGGGCGGTCCTTGGTTTTGCTTTCTTTTCCTTGATTTCCTCCCTAAGGCACAGCGTTTCTGGCGCTATTGGGAGTTAGTCAAGGAAAGGAGGCCGGAGGTCAGGTCCCAGCTTGTGTCCGTGATTCCCTCTTTTTGCGCGTGTGCCCTTGGTTTTGGCCGTTGGCCACGTTGGCCGTTGGCCAGGGCACGTTGGCCCGCGCTTTGCTGAGCGCCACGGTTTTGTTCTGCCTTTTGGGCCTGCAACATTCCGTTGTTATTGCTCCCTCTCGTCCCTTGCCCCCCCCCCCCCCCACCTCCATGACCCTTGCCTACCTCAGTCCTGAAAAGCTCATCCTTGCCCCCCCCTCTCATCCTTCCCTGCCAGGCGAGCGACAGGGTGGTGTGCCACTTCCCCGACGCAAGGTCCAGCTGGGTAAACCGCCGTGGCCTGGCAAGCAGGGGGTTCAGGGGCGGTGGTCAGGGATTCGAGTTTCCCAAGCGCGCAGGAACGGGGGAAAAGGAGGATCGAGCGGCTGCGTTTGGTTTGTCAGTTGGGGCCGTTTGGCGTGTGCTGCCCGTTGCTTCTTTTACGGCTCGACCATGCAATAATCCATATACCAGGGGATGTGTGCATCCACCCAGCGCGTGGATGATTATTGGGGGGGGTAAGAGGGGGGAAGTCGGAGGAGGATGAGGCAGAGGAGGCGGGCGATATTAGAATTTAATCGAGTGGACGAAGGACGACGCAGACGAGGAGGAACATTAGACGGAGGCGTGGGATGAGGCCCATACGGATTATCATGTTGTGTGGGGGGGGAAGAGGAGGATCAGGGGGAGGAAGACGAGGAGGAGGAGGAGGAGGAGGAGGAGGAGGAGGAGGAGGAGGAGGAGGAGGAGGAGTATCGAAGACGCCTACGGCGAATCACCGTCTCCCTGCCTTTTTGGAAGCGCCTGCGTGGCCGAAAGTTGGGTTTGAGCTTGACCAAGCTATCGGGCCACGCGTTCTCCGAGTGGGTGTCGAAAGCCATCGGGGAACACGGAGTCGGGCGATCGGACCAGGTGGTTTCCGAGCTTTCGGGCCTCTTGGCGGACGTCTTGGAGGGGTCTTGGGCCGTCTTGGAGACCTTTGGCGGGCCTTTGGGGCAATTTAAGGCCATCTTCAGGCCATCTGGGGCAGTCTTAGGTGCATTTGGGGGCCATCTTCGCCGTTTTGGAGGCCTCCTTGGCCGTCTTGGAGGCATCTTGGAGGGCAGGCATCTTGGAGGCCATCGTCGGCGTCCTCGAGGCCATCTTGGGCCGTCTTGGGCTCTTTTTGGGGCCTTCTTGGGAGCAAATTGGGCCGTCATGTGGCCATTTCGGATGCCTCTTGGGCGATCTTCGGGCGATCTTGGGGGCTTCTCGGGCCGTCTTGGAACGACGGACAACGGCAAAGGCGAAAACGCCAAAACCTTTCAAATGTAAGGAACATCAGTGATGTTGGCCTTTCCGGGCCTTCTGGAGGACCTCTTGGAGACCTTTTGGGCCGTCTTGGATGCCTCTTAAGGGCCTCTTCGGCCGTCTTTGGCCATCTTGAGAATATCTAAGGCCGACTTGGGTGCATGTTGGGCCGTCTGGGAGCCATCCTGGAGCCAACTTAGCCGTCTTGGAGGCCATCCTGGCCGTCTTCGATGCATTTTGGATGCCATTTTGGCTGTCTTCGAGGCCATCTTGGGCGTCTTGAAGGCTTATTGGGGCCGTCTTGAGGGCCTCGTGGGTCGTCATGGTGCCACCTTGGAGGCCTCTTGGGCGACCTTGGGGGCCTCTTGGGCCGTCTTGGGCCGTCGGAAAGCCGAACAGGCGCAACTGCCAAAGTGGCTCAAAACCCGTAGGACAATCAATGAATTTAGCCTCGTCGGTCTCTCCTGGAGGGCTTCTTGGGCCGTATTGGAGGCCTCTTGGGGGCATCGTGGGCTGTCTTGGGCCGTCTTGAGGCCATCTAAGACCGTGTTGGGTGCATATTAGGGGGAGTTCTTTTTGGAACCAAAACCAAAACCGAAAGGGTCCTGCACGCCAGGAACCCCTGCGATGAATCGACAGGGGGCGGCGGATCGAAGACGCCTACGGCGAATCACCGCCGCCCCCTGCCTTTTTGGAAGCGCCTATGTGGCCGAACGTTGAGGCCAGACCTGCCAAGCTATCGGCCCATGTGTTCCCCGAATCGCTTTGGAAAGCCTTCGGGGAACACGTGGGCATCTTGAAGGTCATCTTGGCCGCCTGGAGGCCATTTTGACCCTTTCGGGCCTTCTTGGAGGACGTCTTGCAGGCTCTTGGGCCGTCTTGGAGGCCATCTTGAGCGTCTTGGAGACCTCTTGGGCCGTCTTGGGGGCCTCTTGGGGCCGGGTCTTGGGCCTCTTGGGCGATCTTTGGGGGCACTTTGGCCGTCTCGGGCCGTCGGAGGGCCGAAATATTACAATGCCACACTCTTTCAAAAAACCCATGGGACACCAATGATTTTGGCCTTTTCGGGCCTTCCTGGAGGCCCTCTTGGATGCCTCTTGGGCCGTCTTGGGCCATCTTAGGGCCATGTTCGGCCGTCTTGCTGGGCCCCTGGTCCGTCTGACGCCGTCGGAAGCCGTTTGGGGGGCCTCTGTAGGCCGACTTGGGGCCCTCTTGGAATGCTCCAGGGCCGTCTTGGAGGCCATCTTGGGCGCCTTAAGGCCTCCTGTGCCGTCTTGGGGGCCTCTTGGGGCCGTCTTGGGGCCCTCTTGGGCCGTTCTGGGGCCATCTTGGAGGCCTCTTGGGCGATCTTTCGGCGATCTTTGTTGGCTCTTGGGCCGTGTCGGGCCGTGGGAAGGCGGAAAAGAAGCAAATGTCAAAATCAGTCAAAAACCATAGGAAATTCAATGTTTTTGGCCTCTTCTGGCCTTCCTGGAGCCCTCTTGGAGGCCTCTTGGGCCGTCTTGGGCCAGCTTCGAGCCCACTTCGGCCATCTTGGTGGGTTCCTGGCACGTCTGACGCCGTCGGGAGCCGTCTTGGGGGCCTTTCTGGGCCGACTTGGGGCCCTCTTGGGGCGCTTCGGGGCCGTCTTGGAGGCCATCTTGGGCGTCTTGGAGGCCATCTTGGGCGTGTTGGAGGCCTCTTGGGTAGTCTTGGGGCCATCTTGGGGCCGTCTTGGAGGCTACTTGGGCCGTCATGGGGCCCTCTTGGGGGCCTCTTGGGTGATCTTTGGGGCCTCTTGGGCCGTCTTGAGCCGTCGGAATGCCGAGAAGAAGCAAATTCCAAAATCTTTCAACAACCTATGGAGAATCAATGATTTTGGCCTCTTCGGGCCCTCCTGGAGGACCTCTTGGAGGCCTCTTGGGTTGTCTTGGAGGCATTGGGGGGCCTCTTGGGCCCTCTTGGGCCGTCTTGGACTCTCTTGGGCCGTTTTGGAGGCCGTCTTGGACCATCTTGGGCGGACTTGGAGGCCATCTTGGACCATCTTGGGCCAACGTGGCCATCCTGGAGGCCATCTTCAGCCGTCTTGGAGGATTTGTTGTGGACGTTGGGGTCCTGGACAATCCTCCCGGGACCCTGGCGGGACGGGCCGAAGCGCCAGGGGGAGTTCTTTTGGGAAAAAGAACCAAAACCAAAACCGAAAGGATCCAGCACGCCAGGCACCCCTGCGATGAATCGACAGGGAGCGGCGGATCGAGTGGCCGTCGGCCCATCCCGCCACCGTGCCTGGGTTGTGGGTATGAAGCCTATTGGATGTTCAGTGGGATCTCGTGGGAGGCCCCGCGGGGGCCTCTTGGGGTAGTCTTGATGCCTATTGGGGGCCGTTTTGGGGCTTCTTGGGGCCTTTGCCTCTTGAGGGCATCTTGGGGTAGTTGGGGATCCTCTTGGGGGCCTCTTGGGGCATCTGTGGCGCCTCTCGGGGCCTCCTGGGTGCCTTTTTGGGGCCTCGCGGGGGCCTCTTGGGGCGGGAGGCTGGCATTTTGGTGGTCCGTGTTCCCTTTCCTGGGCCCCCCTTGTGGGGCCGTCTTGGGGCCCTCTTCGGCCATCTTGGGCGCCTCTTAGGCCCTGCTGGAGCGCTCTGAGGCCGCCGGGGGGCCCGTCTTGGAAGCCTCTGGGGCCGGTTCCGGGTTGGTTTGGGGGGCCTCTTGGGCCGTCTGGGAGCGTCGGGAAACAGAGCAGGCGACAAGGCCAACTCCGATCTGCTCATCCCCACCCTCCCTCCCCTCGCCCTCGCCCTCGCCCTCGCCCTCCCCCCCTCCCCCTCCCCTCCCCTCCATCCCTCCCCCGTCCACCGCCTCCCCACGCCACTGCCTGCGGACGACGAGGGTGGCAGGCCAGCGGCGGCGCTCCACTGCGCAGGCCGGGCCGCTGCGCGCGCCCAGGAACGCCGCGGCCGCCTGCCGCTGCGCGCGCCCAGGAAGGCCTTCAGCAATCAACGGGAAGGCAATGAGCTGGGCCTCTCGGGAGGCCTCGTGAGGGGACTCGTGAGGGGCCTCTTGGGAGGCCTCCTGGAGGCCTCTTGGGCTGCCTGGGCGCCATCCTGAGACCTGAGGACACGCCGCTGCGTGCCACAGAGGCACGGTGGCGGATGCGGAAGACACAGTTGGGCCAGTCGGAAGACATTGGGCGGGAACGATCGGGAGAAGGAAAAGAACAGGGGAGAGCGAGCAGGAAATGGCAGAAGGTTCGACTGCTCGGAGCTGGAGGAGATGTGCCAGCGGTGTGACGACGCCGAGATGCTCGCAGAGCGAGCTCGCGAGTCGCTGTTGACTTCGCTCAGGCCATCGGAGGGCGAGGAGGAGGAGGGGGGGGGAGGAGGAGGAGGAGGAGGAGGAGGAGGAGGAGGAGGAGGAGGAGGAGGAGGAGGAAGGAGGAGGAGGACGAGGAGGAGGAGGAGGAGGAGGAGGACGAGGAGGAGATGGGAAAGGGGGGGGAAGAGAAGGAGGATTGGGAGAAGGAGGAATAGGATGTTGAGGAAGGAGAGGCAAGGAGGAGAAGGAGCGGGGTGACGACGGCTACGAAGACATTTCGGCGGTGACTGCGACGACGACGACGAACATCTGGAGGGCGAGAGTGAAAGTGAGGAGCATGATGAGGACGAGGGCAAGAGAAGAAGTCGAGGACGGAGAAGAGGACGAGGAAGATGACGACAAGGAGATGAGGGAGGAGGATCATGCGGAAGAGGGGCGAGCGACGACGACGAGGAGGACAAGGACTCCCCGCTTTCCTCCCTCAGGCTCACGGGGCTCCGGTTGAATGATATGCCCGTCGACAGGTTCAACCAGGGCGCGCTTAGTTCACCCAGCCAGGTGCGCGGAATGCGACCAATGGTGATCAGTATTTTGTTCTTTCTCCTCCCTTCTTTCTCTCCCCTTCCTCCCCCTCTTCCATCGTTGATTCCTCATCCTGCTCCTGCTGCCCCTTCCTCCTCCTCACCCCTCCCTCCCTCGTCCGTGCTATTCACTTGCGGGAGCCCGACAGGTGTCTTCTTCGTCGTCGCAGCGTGGCG